GCGCGTCTTTCGCTCCTTCAGTTGATTAACCCTACCCCCCGAAGAAGCACAGCTTTACACGCGGCATTGTTCACCATCTGTGTAACTTTGCTTCGCTTTTATTTTTTTTTTTTTTTTTTTTTTTTTTTTTTCGTGGGACACAAAAACTAAGGAGCAACCAACGGGTGTTTTTATGAGTCATTTTTTTTTTTTGCAGAGCAGATGTCTTTTCCTGTCAAGGTTGCTGCTTCCTTTTAAGGGTGTCCCTTGTTAAGTTTGCTTCTACCTGTTAAGGATTCTGTTCTCCCTTTTAAGGATGCCAAGAGGCAACCTCGTTAAATCTTTAATACATGTGTGATACTGTGTGAATATCCATGTGCTCCTTATGAGGGTGCATAGCCCCTTTGATGTTACTCCCCACACGCACTCGCATCGCAGTGCGTTCACTTCTGCCCCGTTCCAGATGCAAAGATGTCCCCCCACCGTTTCCACAAAGTGGGGAACAAGCTCCTCTCGATCTTGTTAATTCACCCAAAGGCATCCCTGCTTTTCGTAGTTCATCTTTTCCTGTTTAGACAAGGCAGCTGCGTACGCCCTAGTGCCTCTCCCAGATTCGTAACTGACCTAAGATGGGAAGAAGAAACGCACTGGGACTTGCCGACGTGTGACCTGTGCGACATTTGTTCCGTGTGCATCCATGAGAAGGGGGAGTCTGAGGTAACCACCGGAGCGGGTACCGGTCCAGGAGGGGCCACACAGTGCGCGTGATATTACCTCAAAGGAGATAGTGTCAACCGTGACAACGCTTATAAATGAGCTCCTCCCCCCCTTTTTCCATTTTTTTTTTTTTTTTTTTTTTTCCCTCTTCCCCATCCGAAGAACATAATCCCCATGGTGGCCATTCCCAGCAAGCGAAAATATCTGCAAGAAAAAATTGGGAACATAAAATCAGAGCTTGTACAAAATTTACCTGATTTACCTGACCAGCAATTAAAAAAAAAAAAATCGTACAGTTTTTTTGAAGGGCAAGACGAAGCCAACGGGGAGGAGAAGCAGGAAGCAGATTCCCCTCTCAACGTGGCGATGGACAATCAGATTTACCATCATAAGAAAGGCACCCATTACGGGGTGGAACACAAACACCCCGATGAGTCCTCAAATTGCGTCACTTCAGACTGTCACATGAGTAATGGTTCTTCTGGACAGCTAGATTACCTCAGGCACTTTATGGATGGCTCGGGGGGGAAGAACCAGGGACCGTGGAGCAGTTTGAGCAACGCGTTTAAACAGAAGGAGAATTTTTCCTCTATCGACAAAGTGACCCTACCCCTAGAGCAGTTGCAGGATGTGAGTATTTAGCTTCTGAGTTATGGAGTGCCCGATTGGCCAGACCTGCTCAACTGAGTTGTCTACTCATATTCACCCATTAACCACTTTTCTGTACGTTGGCCCCTTCCCCGCAGAGCCAATACGTCGGGTACATCCAAATAGGAACCCCGCCGCAAACGATCCGACCCATATTTGACACCGGGAGCACGTAAGTTTGGAGAGGGGTGGGAAGAAGCAGGTGAATGGTGTGATGCGTCACTTCACCATTTGACTAGCCAGCGAAAACAATATGCCCATGTGTGTATGCACCCCCCCCCTATCACTTCTTCTTCCCCCACAAAGGAACATCTGGGTCGTGAGCACCAAGTGCAAGGATGACACTTGCCTGAAGGTGCACCGCTACAACTACAAATTGTCGAAGAGCTTCCGCTACTTCAAGCCGCTGACGAATCTGGACATCATGGTGGGCCGTCCGCGATGCGTACAGATGGACGCACGCACGTGGTTACGCCACGGCGTTGTTACGAAATGGCGTGGCTATGCAATGGCGTTGTTACGAAACGACGCTGCTATAATTTCACCTGCTTCTTTCCCCCCCGCTCATGTGCGCAGTTCGGCACGGGAATAATCCAAGGCGTGATCGGCGTGGAAAACTTCCGCATAGGGCCCTTCCAGGTATTCAACCAACCCTTCGGACTCGTAAAGCGCGAGAAGAGGAGCGAAGCAAAATCAAACGTCTTTGAGAGAATAAACTTCGAAGGCATAGTCGGGTTGGCATTCCCAGCAATGCTATCCACAGGAAAAACAACCATCTACGAAAACCTAATGAACAATTATAAATTCAGTCATAATGAGTTCTCCATATATATCGGAAAAGACAATAAACACTCAGCTTTAATTTTCGGAGGAGTGGACAAACGCTTTTTCGAAGGAGACATTTATATGTTTCCAGTGGTGAGAGAATACTACTGGGAGATACAATTTGATGGTCTGTACATTGATCACCAGAAATTTTGTTGTGACTCTGGTTCCATTGTTTACGACATGAAAAAGAAAGACACAAAAACATGGAAAGGGGGAAAAAATTCCTTTTCGAGGAAATACTTGAAAACGAAAACTGACTTGATGGATATGTCGAGTGTTTGGCGCCACGGTGAGGAAGGCGCAGAAGTCGACTCAGAGGAGGAAGACCCGTCGGGGGAAAACCTCTCTGGGGAGGGCCAAAATGGGGAGAGCAAAAATGAGGAAGAAGGACATGGCGCCCAAGTCAACCTGCATGATGCTCACACGGACATGCATCATAAAGGGGCACACCGCCGATGGCGCAGGCGACATAAGCGGAGAAGACACCTCAGCAGAGCCCACCGTCGAAGCAAGGACGACATCAAATTAAAGAAAAACAAAAACTACCTCATCTTCGATTCTGGGACCTCCTACAACAGTGTCCCTAAATCGGAGATCGACTACTTCTTCAAGATTGTCCCACCGAAGGTACGTTTGGAAAAATCGCCTGAACAGGACATACAAATGGCTAGCTGCAAAAACAAAAAAAAAAAAAAAAAACGCACACAACAAACAGGGCCAATGCGCAAAATGGCTAGCTGTAAAAAAAAAAACAAAAAACACGTTCGTACCGCACCCCCCGCAGAAATGTGACGACAGCAATATAGACGAAGTAGTGGCGAGTTACCCCATCCTGACCTACGTCATTGTAATTCGAGGAGGACGAACAACATTTAAGCAGTTTACACGTGCTTGCAGCACTGTACGCGTTCATACACACGAAACTTTGCAAACGCTCGCTGTTGAACACATGTCGTTCTTTCTCCCCCCACCCCGCAGAACAACATGCCGTTCACGCTGACGCCACCCCAGTACATCGTCCGGAAGTCGGACATGTGCAAGCCGGCGTTCATGGAAATCGAGGTTTCGCCTGAATATGGCCACGCATACATTTTGGGCAATGCGGCCTTTATGCGATACTACTACACCGTTTATAGGCGCGGAGATGGACAAAAGAGCTCCTACGTAAGTGGCAAGCGCGTTTGATGGGGCGACAGGAGAAGCACGGATGGGTTGAAAATGGTGTCCCATTGGTGGACCTCACCGCCGCGTCCTTCCTTTCTGCGTTCCTATACCGTTGTAACTTCTTTTATCTTTTTTCACGCTTTTTTCCCCCCTCGCAACAGGTGGGCATTGCCAAGGCAGTGCACGCGCAAGAGAATGAGGAGTATCTGGCCTCCCTGCAGAGCAAGATGAACCAAATGGGGTAGTAGCCCCCCGTTCGCATTAACCCACTGGGATGGGTTAAAATGCGTGTTTTTTTTTGTATGTTCTTGTTTTTTTTTTTTTTTTTTTTCGTGTTGCAAAAGACGCAGTGACGGTCGGACCGTCGGTACAAATGTGGACACAAACAAAACAGGCGATACGTTACACACTATCGCGAAATAAAATTACATCACGTGAATAAGGAGAAGGAGAAGTAGACTGCGGTTGTGCGTGCATGCCGCTTCTCTGCCGCTCCGCTGCGCTCCACTGCGCTGGGCCTTGTTAGGCTTGCTTGGGCCCCGCCTTGAACCCCTTGTCCTTGGCCTTCCCTCCCTTGGAGTACTTGTTCAGAATCTGTGTGAGTATATTCTCGAAGGTGGACAGCTGGCAATTTTTCGTGAGCACAATGAGGGGAGCCAACTCACAGTAGGGAGGGACGTCGAAGGTTTCTGCCTTTTTATCATTTTCAATAATTTTCTCGTAATCAGGCATATATGTTTTGTAAAAAAATTTCAAATTTGACGTGGAGTTTTTTTTATTTTCATTAAAATGTTGAAACACGTGGGAAAAGACATTCGTTTTTTTCTTGTCCTTTGGATCATGTTCACTGTTCTTCTCGAAGGGGTGTTCACTTTTGTTTTGGAAGGGTCTTTCAACTTTGTGTTGGAAGGGGCGTTCAATTTTGTGTTGAAGGGTGTGTTGAAAAGCATTCCTTCCTGCTTCATTTTCAAGAAAGTTATTTCTTCTTCCATTCAAATTTTTACTTGAATTAGTTTCGCCTTCCAAGTCGATTTGCCTTGGGTTCACATAGAAGGATCTATCACTGACGCAAGAAACGCTTCGATGTAATTTGTGATTTGGTTCTTGCGTGCTTATGTCAATGGTACAATCATGTTCATATGTTAATAAATTTTCCTTTGTGATGTCTTCTTTTTTTTTTTTTTCATATTCTACATTTAGGCCATCTGTTTGTTTGTATTTTTTTTTCCTTAAATTGGAGCTGATGGATCTGACCAAGTAGCTTCCTGTCCTGGTTGTGTTTTTGTTGATTGAACTTAGCTTTTCGTGTACTCCTCCAAACTGAAATGACATATCTCTTTTGTAGACCGTCTGATGAAATTTTGCGTCTTCATCTTCATCTCCTCCTCCTGCTCCTTCCTCTGCTCTTCTGAACAGGTTTGCTGCGCTGGAGGAGAATTGGCTCCAAAGGCCATTCCTGCGCACACCGTTTTTCCTGGGGGATGTGTCTTTTCTATGAGGGGTACCAATTCCAAGCGCAGAGTCGCTCCTGCTCATGGGGCCCTTTTCACTATCCATGCCACTGTACCCTTTCCTTTCTGTGCTCATGACGTCGAAATGAAAACTCGGTTTGCATGCACCTAAAGCGGCCGGTTTGCCTTCTACGCTGTCGGCGCATCGGAATGCGTTTCCCGCGCTCACCTTGTCTTTGTCTTCTTTCCCCTGGGGTATTGCTTGTGAGAGGGAGTTGTTTGACTCCACTTTGTCTGAAGCGGATGCGCCGTGATGGTTGCTGGCTGGGTTAGGTTTCTCCAGAGGGGGCGTTTTTCCGTGTATCGTTTTTGCGTGTGTCGCTTCTGCATGTATCGCTTCTGCGTGTGTCGCTTCTGCATGTATCGCTTCTGCGTGTATCGCTTCTGCATGTATCGCTTCTGCGTGTATCGCTTCTGCATGTATCGCTTCTGCGTGTATCGCTTCTGCGGGGGGCGTTTGTACGGGAGGGATTTCCCCGGACGGCTTCTTCTCCCCCTTGCTGACAGCCGAGTTTGCACGGCTTACCTGACTGGACGGGTTGACTTCCCCTCCGGCGCCTCTCTTACTATCATCCACGTACTTGCTAAAATGTCTTTCATACTTTTGCTGCTGCGCCTTGGCGTCTTTCTCGAGCAATTCATAATTTTGGCCGAACCCATCTTTCGCACCCGAGCTGAACAAAATTTCGATTCTGAATCTGTTGCTATCATTTCGTTTTAGCTGTTTCCTTTCCCAGACTCTAAAAACTAAATGCGATAAATAATGCAGGTCTGTTACATTTCCTACACTCTTAATGGAATCATTGTCGATTATATTTTGGCCAGTAGATGTGTCAATATTCTTTGAATGGATGAGAATATTTAAAAGGGATAGCATATGCGAAGCTGATGTGACGTAGTATCTAGACCTAACCATTCTCCAAGGAGATCGGATTCCTAACCTCCTTGCATCTGTTTCTTTAAGTCTAATTATATCTTCGTCATCATCGTGGTCTTGTTCTTCCTCTCCTTCATCATCCTCTGCTTCTACTTCTTCTTCCTGCTTCTCCTTCTTCTGCTTATCACATTCGTCGTCGTCGTCCTTTTCGTTATCCACCTGACCATCTGTCTCCTCCGTTTGGTACTCTGGATCAGTTCTTTCCTCTACCTTGCTCTGCGCAGCATTGTTACAGACATGGTGGTTTGCTATTCCTTCTTTGTCCCCCTTTTGTGTGCATTCATGGCCACTGCGAGATGTAGCATTATACGTTGTGTCACCCAGACATGTGCCACTCAGACATGTGCCATTCCTTCCTCTTTCCTCTTCACTCTTTTGTACATCCAACGTGCTGGTTACCCTTCCACGTAACTCCTTCGCAGTCGTGTCGCTACCACTTCCACTAATGCCTCCTGTACCTTTCATCCAGGTACTCCTCTTTTTATCTAGCCCCCTATAATCACTAGCAACTTCCATATTATCTTCTCTCTTTAAATTAAATTCACTCTCCTTGGCATTTTTTATTTTTTTCATTTTTTGTTTTTCATTGTTTTCCTTTCTGTACTTATTTTGGTGGGCCCACAGATCCGATGAGTTTATCACCAGGGCCTCCTTCTTGTTGATCAGTTTTGGAGCGTACAGATCCTTCGCGTTGATATTGTACGTGACGCCTCCCCCCGCTGCTTTGAAGGGATTCTTCTCCTTTGGCGTTACACCAGGGGGGGTGTCACACGGGATATCAGCGGCGCCTCCAACCATACCTACGACGACATTGCGCATGTTAGTGATAACCGTGGTACCAAGAGTGCCTCCCCCGTTTTGGGTCGAACCGGCGTGTGGATCACCCGGTGCTTCCCCCGAGGCACCTTTCGTGGGTCTCTTGTCCGGCGTCGGGGCGTCACCTTCCTTTGGCTTCTCCCCATTGCTGCGCTTGGAGCGGTCAGGGAGGTCACCGCTTCCCTTGTCCTGCCCGTGCGACTGGGTAGCGGTTGTGGAGTTTGCAGCGATTGTCGAGTCGGCACCTGTTGGGCTTGCCCCCACTTCGGGTGAAGTTGCCCCCCCAGGGGAACCTCCAGCTTGCGCATCCCTCCCAGCTTTTCCACCCTTTCGGTTGAGTTCTTTGTAAATGGACTTTTTCACCTGGGCTTCGCTGAGGGCAGGCCTGCCACTGGAGGCGGTGACGCAGGAGAGCGGCGCGTTCGTTGCATTCCCTTCTACCGAACTGGGGGTGGACTGATTGCACGCTGGCGCCCCGGTCTTGGTAGCACACGGGTGCGTAGCGATGGTCGGGTCCGTCGCTACCGTCACTACCGGCGCGGCGCCGAGTGCCTCCCCCGCCTTGTGCACACGGTTGTCAATAAACATTTGTCTGGAGTCATACTTACACATGCTAAACAATTTGGGTGTGTCTTTTTGTATTTCCTTGTCTAGCCAATTTGCGTGTTGTGCATCTACTTTAGCATTTTCCAGAACCTGTTGTTGTGTGTTCTTTTCACTTGTTGCCATGCCGGTCTTATCATTCTTCGCTGGATTAAACGAGTTGATATAGGAAATGTTAAGAGCATTTTTTAAATCAAAATACCCCTTGTTATTTCTTTTATTCCTGACCTCTTCATCTCTGTAGAAGGTAACATCATGTATTAATTTGCGAAGGAGCTTTCCAACAATGTTAACTCCGATTTTTACCTTTTCTTCAGGAGTTATTCCATATTCTGCTTGTGAAATAAAATTGGCTAGCGGTTCTATTTGATTATAAATTTCGAAAGCCTTGTCTAATCCACAACCAAGATAAGAGTGATGATGAATCAGATCAAATCTGATATTGTCTACAATGTCAGGTATTTTTGAAGTGTCATAATTGTTTTTATTTTTTTTGAACCACATTTTGGTTAGTGATTTCCACCTGACTTGTATTTCGTGTAGAATGTCAATTACATACAGAGCATACTCATCATATGGAAAAAGATTTAACCATTTTTGTACTTCCTGATTTAATCCTTTTAAAAAATCATATATCGTTTTTCTAATTTTTTCCATGAGTTGAAAAAAGTTAGAAATTTTTCTTAATGATTCTCTTAACCCTCTTGCATGTTTACCAGATGTAAGTTTTTTCAACAGGTCCTCATCAATATGTTTATCTTCATTCAGCAGATTGTCTATGTACTGTTTACACTGGGTTCTATTTAGGCTGGGTCTGTTATCATCTAGTAGACTATGAGCTTTGGAATTCCTAATCACCATGGCCACTAGAATTGGGGTGAGTTCTCCATCTAGGTCTAAAAAGCCTTTTGTAAAAGCTGCAGATGTTATTTGGCACCTCCCTTCGTCTGAAGTAAATATTTTGAAGTCGTGCCTAAAGGTTGAGTGTAATCGTAAGAGACCATCTGAATCTCCGGGGTAGAGTGTTGCTCTGAATCTTTTTCCTAAGTTTTCAGATTGTCTCCTCCCCATCCTTGTTAGCTCTCCTCCCCATTTGGCCACTGTTAATATTTTGGTCACCACAATTTTATCATTTATAACTACAAACTCTACTGGCTTGAGCTGTATTTTTCTGTTTATTCCTGTGAACCCATCTCCCCTTTCCAGCACCTTTTGAAGAGTCTTGTGGTTTTCTATTGTGATTTGGCATTCGCTGAGTTTCGCCTCCAGCTCTTCCTGGGTCATGGCGGCGTGGGGGCGCGCGTCTGCGCCAGCGTTACGTTTAGCGGTGTCTACGTCACGTTTAGCGGTGTCCACCTCCCGTTTAGCGGTGTCTACGTCACGTTTATCGGTGTCCACCTCCCGTTTAGCGGCGTCCTCGCTTTCCTCCCCCACCGGCAGCTCGCTCCTCCTGGCCTCGGCCTCGGCCTTGAGCGCCTTGTACTCCTTCTCGATGTCGCCCAGGATAATGTTGTTCCGCAGGAAGAGGTCCTGGAGTTCCTCCGGCGACTTGAATTTGATTTCCTTCTTGGTGTACTCCTTATAGAGGTTGTCTCGGCGCTCCTCCTCATCTGGGGGCAGGGCATTCGTAGAATTTGCACCACTTGCAACATCGTTCGTGTCCCCCCCGGCAGGTGGTTCTGCTTCCACACCCGAGGCGCTGACCACCTCACCACTCTTCTGCGAAATGAAAGATATTTTACTGATGGTAGAGGGTGCTTTTGCTGCGGCGTCGTATTGGAACATGGAGGAATCGACCCGATCGGAGGGAATGGAGCTAACAGGTAGGTTGTTGGTATTGGCTTGGTTGAGATGGGTGTGGATAGCCTTTTGCTGATCTTCAGGAGCCATTTTATTTTCTATAACGTTGTAGAGGTTTTCTTCACAATTGAAGTAATCCAGCAGAAGAGGACGATCGGTGAGAAATTTCATTTTTTGTTTTGGCTTCCTATCACCATGGCGCATAACAATAATAACAGAACATAACTCTTCATGATGCGAACAATGGAGGTCATCGGGTTGTATGAAAGTTTTTCTTAACACCTCTTCTTCATTTTCTATATTATACCAGTTATCTGCGAGGTCCCTAGGGATGATATTATATTTTTCCTCCAATTTGGCCAGAAACATTGCTCTCAGTATATGTGCACAATCGTTATAATATTTTATATTTCCTTTTACAAATGACCATCCGTTCACATCACAAACGAATGGTCCCATGGTTGTCCTTAGAATATCGAACCCACAAACGGTTTGCTGAAATGCTTCAACAATACGATATGCAATAAGTTTTTCTGCTTCAGACAGAATAACCGCGTACCTAACTTCCTTCCCATCAGATGTTCTACAAACCTTTCCATCAAGGGCAGGAGATTTCCTAGCTTCTGCATGAGCAAACATTTGCCCAACTGTATACACTTTTACATCTGTACCAAAGGTTGAAAGGAACTCTTCATATATATACGTGCCGTTATTTCTAACCTTATGTACATCAGGACAGTACTCACTGCTCCTGTCTTTAATCTTACGAAAGAGTTTTTTACATCCCCCCCCAGTGTTCTTGGGGTAGTAGATCCAGTTGTTATGATTATCTGCATTGATCGGTTTTTCAATAAAAGGTTTATTCAATCTAATGTTATTGTATACGATATAGTCGTAGTATTCTTCAAATGCATGTTCTCCTCTTTTCACTGCATCGTGATCGACCACCACATAATTCGCATGAGGTACTTTCCATTTTTTTAATTCTTCATATATTTGTAACCTGGATCTTAATATTAATTGCCTGCTTAAATTGTTTAAAGTTATTGGTTTGTACTTTTTTACATACTCGATAGCTTTTTTCAAAGGGAACCCTGTGGAATAAAAAGCTATCAGACAATCTACTATGGGCCATGTGTCAATGTCGTGATTTAAAATCATGTCTTCCTTAAATTTTATTATGTTGAAATCTCCACTTTTGGCTAGCCTTTTTAAAATACATTCCATGGGTGCGCTCTCCACTTTGCTTTCCATGGCGCACACGCCCAGTGTGAACTTTTTTATCATACCCGAGTCATCCTTGCTTACATTTTCGAACAGCTTTTCCTCGTCCAGCGACCCCCCGTGCTTGCGCAGCTTCATCGCGGAGGTAGCCACGGTGGCGACATGGAAGAAGTCAACCAAATTTGCAAACAACCGACCTTTTTAAACGCCTGAAATGGTGGGCCAGGGCCTCCTCCACTCAGCAATGAGGAATGAGCAATGAGAAAAGAGAAAAGGGAAAATAAAAAAAAAAAAAAAAAAAAAAAAGGGCCGCCCCACAAAATTTACATAAGGCCATTCAACATTACAACGCGAGGTGCTCAATCGGGAAAACGACCGTTCAGGATGAGCCATCACCAGATCATCCCTCCTTGACGGATGCACAAAAAAATGGCAAAGTGCCTTATGTAGAAATTGGGTTAACATAAAAAAGGGGAAAAAAAAAAAAAAAAAAATGAAGGCAACTTTTACCTGCGCAGTTCAGGTAAAATTTTTCTGAGCGTGCAATGTTGCCGTGTTTACACCTCACAATATTGTTGCACTCGGGATGCGCAGAGGCAAAACCGACCAAGCTGTGGCGCACTTTGCCCCTCCCACCTAAGTGTGATTGCCCAAACATAATCCCTGTGCCGACGAAATTAACCATCAATCAGGCACAGAGGAAAATGCAAGCAGTCCGTTTTTTTTTTTTTTTTT